TCTATCTATCTATCTATCTATCTATCTATCTATCTATCTATCTAACTATCTATAGTTGTTGTTAGGTTCCTGAAGTGCCACATCAGTACTACTATATACATATGTTTCAAAAAGTTATGGGAAAAAAATTCATTATTTTTTCATTCCATTTTTTTCACAAACTTTTTGAAGCTACATTGTATGTATGTATGTATATATGTATGTATGCTCACATATTTTTTCTTTGAAGCACAATAGTTATTTGTCAAGAGTATTAAGTGATCGGCATACACTGTACCTGACACCAAGCAGAACTTGAATAAAATTGTAGAGCATTCTTCATTACTTGCTCTTCCCCACTACCTTTATTCACATCTCTTCATTAATGTAAAATAGCAGAGAAATCGTAAATCATGAAAGAATGCTGAAGTATCCCCAATACCTCTTCCAATGTGGTATCTGAAATCCCATAGCCCATCAGATGGAGATGATGTAGGTTCTGGTCCAGAGCATGAAAGAATCCTTTAAAGTTGGCCTTGTCCATGTCCTTTGGAAGGGTATACACCAGCTCACTCCCATTACTGACTTTGAGAAATGCTTGGGGAATATAACTCTGTATAAAAGTTGTGAGTTGAGCTATGTCCTTTGGATCATGTTTCTCTGGAATAGAAGTCTATTTTTTTACAAACAAATGAGAGAAAAGAATAAAGAATATGAATCCAAATATGCATCAATTGTTTTCATATATATTCACAAGAAAATTATTTTTGAAATTTCATTTCATACAGTAAATTCAGTAAATATAATTTGAGGCAGGCATTTCAATGATAGATCATATTTTTTCCACTTTTAAAACCTAACAATCCACATGCTGTCTGTGGTCACTGTTGTGCTAGGCTACGTGGAACTCTAGGTTCTGAGGACGCTGAAAAAATCTTGAAAATGACTCCGTCCCTAACACCTAGCCCACCAGGATACAACACTGAAACTTTCTGAAAGGGAAGCAGGGATTTCCAACTTTGAAAGAACTACTAGGGATTTAATTTTGCCCTCCAAAATATGTGGTAAAATCTTAATTCCTGTACTTGTCAAAAGGAGCCCTGGTTGTGCAGTGGGTTGAGCATTGGACTGCTAATTAAAGTTTTAAATCCACTAGCCACTCCAAGTGAGAAAGATGAGGGAGTCTGCTTCCATAAATAGTCATCGCCTTGGATAGCTATTGACCAATTCCACTGTGTCCTCTCAGGTCACTATGAATTGGAATCTACTCGATGGCAATGGTTTAGTTCAGATTTGCGTGACCAATTTATTTCACTCAACATAATGTGTTCATGGTGTATTCATGTCATGCATGTACCAGGACTTCATATTTTTATAGCGGAATAACGTTCTATTGTTGTTAGGTGTTATAGAGTCAGTTCTGAACACATGTACACCAGAACGTAACATTGCCTAGTCTCAGACCATCCTCGCAACAATTTCCATGTGTCAGCACATTGTTACCACTATGTCATTTCAGCTCACTGATGGCCATCAGTGACTTACATTATTTAAGGAGCCCTACAGCTCTGGTAGCGTAGTGATT